AATATTTGGATTTATATTGATTTTTCTCTGGGTGTATATTTTAAGTATTTACCTTCATAAGTGAATCTTAAGATTAAATATACATATATTTTTATTATTATGTAAAAATCATTTATATTCATTACTTCTTAAAATTTTCTCTTACCTTTTTTGTGCGTTTCGGTAATGCCAATGAGATTTTTGTACAGAGTTCTTTCTTAACGTTCTCATCATTGAAAACTTGATAATATACAAAAAACAACACCTGCCTAATATAATCAAAATTCGTGAAAAAAGGAGCTAATTGACAGGTTCCAGATTGCATTATTTTATCTGTCAGCTGATAAAATATCTTTGCATAATTTTTGCCTTTTTGGATTGCTACCTGATCAGCAATTATAGAAACATTAAAATTATCGCAAATAAAAATGTGGCGTGATTGAAATTTTTTTTAGTTCATTTAAAATGCAAGATATACTTCAGGATTTTTTTGGCTCTTTATAAACAAATCTTAACTTCGTGCTGATATAAAGACAATTGTGATGAGCGTACGTTTTGACGAGTACCCTTTCAAAATAAATATAGAAACACTTAATTGAATTGATAAATAAATATGAACAAGCATTCTGCACAATTTGTACTTTTTTCTTAGCCTATTTAATAAACATTTCCCCGCTCATGTAATCTTAATCGAGACAGAAAAAATTGGCAATGCAAACATTAAAACGACATCAGCTATGCAATTCCGCCTTTCTTCGCGACCAGCGATAACGGTAAAAACCAACGAACATCATTTCCCCATCCCGCGATTTCCTCCTAAAGTGTTCATTAATAGTTCCGGTTTATGCGACATTAAAATAAAAGTGAGAGAGGAAAAAATCAACCAGAAACATATGCTTAAACATTGCGTTCAATGTTAAGTGCGTGCATTGCACTGCCCAGATACAAATATATCTGTAGATGGGGATGTATCTGTAGCTGTGCAGCGCTGGTTGTAGATGTAGATGCAGCTAGAAACGCGTAGACTAGTTTGAAATTTACATGGCCGTCGCATGAGTCAGCGGGCTGCGAAATTTCTCAGATAGAAGTTTTCTGTATCTAGAGAAATTTTCGCATAGCCAGCAAATGCGCACTTTGAATTTTGGCACAAATTTTGATTCAATTAACCTTCCGTTTCAGAAGAGGTCAGTCTGCAATATTGACTAATATCTGATTCTTTCCCATTATTTATCAATCTTATGCCTAATTTCCTTGAAGTAGTTGTCTTAGATAGTCATTGAACTCAATGTGCAACTTCATGGAAAATTAATTTCCAAGTTTTTTGTTTATTTTCATTCTTGGTATCAGATTTTTTCTTATGCAAAAGGTATGTTCACCTGAAATGTGTTTATTTCCCTTAGCTTCAGTATACAATTTTGATTTAAATTAAACTTGTTTTTTTTATTTTAAGTTACTAGCTTGTCGACCGATAATAAAAATATTTGTTAAGCTGTTATATTTAACAAGTCGCGTAGGTTTCAACTGGGTCACCTTTTGGCTTATCAATGCCTGCACATATAAAAAATAATAATGGGAAAAGTTGGAATGCAAGGTTAGCTGGACAATAGCGATTGTTTAAATACCTTAACAAAAGAACAGAAATTAAATGCGAAAATCGGGATAAGCCTTATTATGTAAAGAATTAAATAATTTAAAGTTACCAAATAAATTTATTAAATAAATTTATGTGTTCTTGTCAAGGTGTTTTTTAAATGCACACAAGAAAATTTAAAAATATTTCAAATTTTTTTTGTTTTAAATTACTTATAATATTAGTAATTTAAAAATACTCATGAATAATTATTCATGTTACGAAAGCATATTCAAAATAACACAAACTATTTTGTCTTGACATTGTATTCATTAAAAGGTATGCTTTTTAATAGGGTATCAAGCACAGATTATCATTAATATACCTTACATATATTTGTATAATTATATAGACTCATGTTTAAATATAAATTACAACAGACTTACTGCGAACATGATTGTAAAATAGGAGCAACAAAAACTCATAACAAAATTATCAACAGGCAAATGCCTCTGAAAATTTTCCACCCCAACCTGCGTTTCATAACGCAGATCAAAGATCAGAAAAGTTCAATCGGTACTATTAGTATTTTTTTCTGAGTACTACAATAGTATTGTAGTATTTCGTAGTATTTCATGTAAATCCTTTTTTATTCCAAAATAAATAACGTGTTTTAGCATGTGAATTGAAATAAATATTGCTTGGTCAGTTATAATTTATAGGTTTCACTGGTTTGGAAAAAACATTTGTAGGTGCTTGTCTGGGACGGTTTAAGGAATTCGTAAGAGTAAAACAAATATGAAGCAAATATTTCCCGCGACAATGATTGCGAACCTTATCTGATCAGTTAACGCCCACTAATCAAGCGAATTGTAAATTAATCAAAAACAAACCAAAAAAAACTTTCCATTAAGTTGATTTTCCTCTACTTTTGCCGTTAGTTGCCAATTTCTCAACGCCTACGTCGCTTTTTGGGAAACGACACCTGGCTACACGGTAAAAAATCCAATGCAAATCAGTGGTAATCAGTACCCCTTAATTGGTTTTAAACTTTTCCCTATAAAATTAATTTGATAAATAGTAAGAATGTGACAAAAAGTGTAGACATCGAATAGAAAAGTCGATTTAAAAAATGTTTTTATTCTTTTACGTTACTTTGACATTGGCAATGTTTTTTTTTTGTAAAGTGGTTAATTAAAATCAGCGAAGGTGTATCCAAATTCAACGGTTCAGGACGTTTATCTTTCGTCTGCAATTTTCCCCTCATATTTTTTCCACACCTATTTGCTTGTCTAATCGAGCGTTGATTAAGAACAAATTGTTTTTGCGTCGCTGGGGGGGGGAAGATTAAATTGTTGTTGCTAGCCGGTCGTGCGACCAACTAAAATAGCAAATAGAAATCCTGCCCTCTCAGCTCCTCTTCTTCTCTTCAATGTTAAGTTCAATGACTAAATTTGAAATTTTGTTCCCGCTACTTTTCGTTGGTTCTCCTCGAGAATCTCCGGGCAAGGTTTTAATCAGCCCGACTGTCCGTTATCAGCTCTATATGCTGTGATGGCCTAGTTTCTTCATCGTTTTTGTGGAAGATGGTGCAAATGGGAGGTGCAGAGGTGTAAACCCAGGGGGAAGGTCAATTAATAAATATAATGAGCATGAATAATGCATAAAGCTGAGCCACATGAGTGGGGAAAGTCCTGGGCTTAGCTGTCATTTCCATTTTTAAATTTACTAACAAGTCAAGAAAAATAATTGCTTTGAACTGAGATTAAAGGTTTTATTTTATTTAATTTGGAAGCTTTACAATTATAACTTTTTAATAGCCACAAATATTTATTTTAATTTATTTTTCGCACATTTCGTTAAATTGCATTTGCTGATGCTGATACACTCTGGCAATCATTATTGGTGGTCTAAATCGGCCGATTTTTAGGTCTTTTTTCATTACGCCATAAATCCGTATTAAAAATTTCAATGTTTTGTGAGATAAGAGAAATATTGTATTGGGCTATATTCAAAATAAGAAATTATTCAGACTGCGACTTAACTTGGACATGGAGTAGACGTATACCCGAAGCACCTGACGATCCACTGATCGATTGAATAATCAGGCCTAGTTCCGCTTAGGAGGTTAGCAGATCACCGATCGAAGGCTTTAAATAGATTGTCAAGGCCTTACCGCATCCTAAGGTATTTTTAGTTGGAACTTTGCCGTCCGGATTTGTTATTGAACACAGCCGATTACGCCCACCTAATCAGGGCCGATAATCGGCATTAGTCCAGCAAAATCCCCAAGATTTAGTCGAGCCCGAGATTCCAGTCCCTAATCGGGACTTAGGTCTGGCGTTGGCGCCGCTGTCAAACAGGCTGGAAAAAGTCGCTCACGTTGCTCGGATTCCCGGGCATATAGTACGGCCACTATCAGTCAATTTAATGATTTTCAATTTAGATTTCTGGGCAGGCTGGGGGCGATTAGTTAACATTTGTTTTCAGCGTGTCCAGCAGCGGCCTAAAGGCCCAGAGCCCGGGACTGATGAGATAATTAATGCCGCATGCACAAACACACACCCTCCTTTTGCGTCTAGTTTGTATATTTATAGACAAGGTTTATGGGTTTGTTGTGCCCACCTCCAATCTGGGATTATAGTCCTCGCCGGACTCTGCTGCCCGAAGACCTCCATTGTTGCTCCAAAAACTGGCGAGATCGGCATTATTTCCACCGTGGCGATAGGGCGGTGCAGGTGGGACCCAGATGGGTTCAAAGGGGTGTGTTTTGGTGGGCGTTCAGGTCCCGATCGGCAGATAAGCGCAACAAATTTGTTTAGATAATGGGCAATGACAGGCAAAATGTTAGCACAAACAAATTATGCAGCAGTTTTCAAGCTTCTTCCCTTATCGCGTTTATTTTAATAATTGGGATTTTCTTTTTGTACACATACACATACAAACATTGCTTAATCTATCTTATACGCAGTTGTTAATAATGAACAGATAATTTTAAAGATAAATTACTTCAACTTTCTTTGAGTTATTCACTTATCCGAATAAAAAAATGTATCCACCATAAAACGTTTTGTAGTAACATCATGGCAATCCCTTCCTAAACATTTATAATATATATCATTTTTTTTTTCAAAATACCTTTTGTGTTTCTTTATATTATATCAAAACATATTTAAATATTCATTTCATTGGCGCCAATTTACTCTGCTTTAATGTTAACTGCTTTATGTGAACTGCTTGATTACTGGTGTTAACGTTCTGTAAAGTAAGGACTGTCTGGCAACACTGGCTTGTTCAAAATCTGTTGCACTGCTTTAAGACTTTGCAAATTTTTTTAAAGGGAGTTTCCATATACTTTTATTAAGAAACTGTATTAAAAACCAGCTGGAACGTCAAAAAGATGGAAAAACAACTTAATTATCATTAGTGGAACTGGCTGGGAAACACCCGCTCTGTAGCGTTATTTTACTGTCCTTCCACTTTGGTCACACTAAAAAACTTTGTAGGCAAGCAATTATTTAGCATAGCAAATCCGAAAAACAAAACCAGAATAGCAAAACCATGGTAAGTGCTTTGGTTAAAGAAGCGATTAAAATAACTCTTTATACGCTGCTCGGTTTGCAATCTTCGGGTTTATTTAGACACTGATTTAAATTAGAGGACTTCAACTTTGGCTGTTCATACAATTAAAGGGGAAAACGCTGGGCATCCAGTTTAGTAATCCGGCAGGATCGGTGGTTCCGGGGACCTTTTGCCGCCCCACGAGTGGAACCGCTGCTTCTTGCCCAGGACCACCGAGTTGCGCTTCTCGTCCCGCTGCAACTGCGACTTGATGCGGCACCTCTCGATGACCGCATCCCGGATGATGGAGGAGAACTCCGCGTCGCCGAACTGGGCCATCAGCAGCCGGAAGAAGGCCCAGATTTCGCCCCTCTGCGAGGTGGGTGATGGGGCGTAGTGCCGGAAGAGCCATCCCTCGGAGTCCGCTTCCTGTCCGCCGGGTCGCGAGTTGTACGCATCGCAGACGTCCTCGAAGCTGAGGATGGCCTGCAGGATGAACCTGCGGTACTTGGAGAGCTGCAGCTCGCAGGTGCCCAGCTCCGAATCCTGTCCGGATATCGGGGCCGGTACACTGGCTCCGTAGATGTGGCGGCCAAAGGCCAGGAACACTATCCAAAGGACTATCTGCATCTTCGCCAGCGGTTCTAGCTGCCCCAATCCCGTCGGCCAACTGCGTTGCTTGGCGCCGCGTTTCGCCGCTTATATAGCCACCCGATCCGCAGTCGAAGTAGCCAAACCCCAGCCCACAAACTTTGAAGTCCATAAAATAATTATAAAACGTTTGTCGTTCGCATTTTCTAAGCCGTTACACACGTCGCTAAATAAATACGAGTGCGTATTAATAAGCGTCTGCCCGTTTTCCACAATGGCACAACAAGTGTCATAAATTTTCACTCGCTTAGCCCGCCCTTCCCCTCCGAACTTGAGTTTATTAATCCTGCCCAGAGATAAACGTGACGAGCACTTGAAACTGAGACGAGCTCCCCAAACGGGCTTTCCTTATATGCTGGGTTTTCCAGCTACCACCCACAACCTACCACCCACAACCTACCACCCACCACCCACTTGGTCACCCCTTTTTGTGCTCGCCACTTGCACAAATTGCTCGCTGATTAGCAGGCAAGCGTATGAAATTAATCATATGCAAATATCGTCGACTTTTCTTTTCCTCGACGCGACGTTGTTGCTGTCGTGGGAGTCCTCGGGATCCCGGTTATCCCTAAAGGGTATCATTAGATTACACGAAACACGAAACGCACATGAGTCCAGCATTGACGACCCAAATTAGGTTGAAAAGCAGTCAGTTCGTCCTTTCGGTGAAATATTTTCTTCAGTGGTCAAGGTGTTTGTTTATAGGTTCACATACCTATAGACAAAATATTTACTCTATCCGTCCAATCTTATTGTCTTATATAGTCATACTAATTTAAGTTGAATATAACTAAATTAAATATGAGCCTACCATGTATATTTAATAAAACATGAACTTAAAAATGACTTAAGTCCATGTAGCCGATCATTTAGCCTTAATTTATTTGCTCCTAAACATGGGAGGCTCTTAATTAGATATATTTGTTATTATTATTCCTAAAATTAAGAAATGTTTCTAAAATTTATGGCACTTTATATTTTGAGAGCATGATTCTTTATTTTTCAAACATTTTCATTTATTTATTTTTCTTTGTCGTTACAATTTCCAAGTTCAGATGAACCTAATTCCGATTCAAATATATTTTTATAAAGATATTTATAACTTATAAATTTTCATAATATCCAGTTGAATTGCATATGGTAGATATACATTTTCGAGGGTATTCACTACTCCCACGCCCATGCATGTTTTTCCTAAGAGCTCTTCATTTGGCTCGAGCCCACTTGTTGAAGCACTCTGGTCTTTAATTTACTTGAAAACGTGATGGGTTAACTTGGCTGTGGGCGTCTGCTCGTCCTAAACCAGAGTATGGGAGAAGCAAACTTATATTATTTCCTTAATCTAAATAACCAAAATTGTATTTGCCCTTTACAGAAATTCCGTTTCTGTGGTGAAGGCGATTGCCCCGATTGGGTTTTAGCTGAGATCATATCCACACTCTCCAACTTGAGCACTGAAAACTTGGAACAACTTAGCGACCTGGTGGCTCTGCGAATTTGTGGTCAGACATTTGAGGTTTGTATGTTTGTTTTTTACAACAGAATATTAATGAATTATATTTCTTACAGGAATCGAAAATTAAATCGCTGACATCCACACTTACTAATGAGGGCAAAACAGCAGTGGCCTGCATCAATTTTATGCTGGTCAACGCTGCTCGCTACAGCTGCACCGAAAGTATTTTTGGGGAGGAGATCCAACAGTTGGGACTGCCCAAGGATCATGCCGCCGCCATGTGCAGAGTTCTCCAAAAGCATTCGACTGCCATACGGCAAACACTAATAGAAAAATCTTTCAGAAGTGAGTGGGATATTAAATCAAATAATTCAGCTAAGATCTCAATTTCACATCCAAATTCCATATTTAAAATAACAAACAGCTTTCAGTTCCTTAAAATCTATGAAGTTAAAAATGCTTAAGAAATATATAAAATGGTATATAAATTCATTGTACCATGATCTCAATTTCACTCCATTCCATCGTATAAATAATATTTAAATACAGATAATCACTAAGTAACGAGATCTTAAAAAGCTATTGTTAAAAAAAAAAACCGTACAAACACAAACCTTTCCCTCTGATAGGTACTGGTGGAAACATTTTGAAAATACAATTAATTTTTAGAGCTTATTGAATTCCCCCATTTTTGAATCTTTTGGATGTCGACTGATACAAATTATTTAATTAATTTTCTAAGTTAAATCGAGAGCATGACTGTAAATATTTGAAATATTTTTAATTTTCCTTCTTAGTTAATGAACTGCAAAGCGTTCGGGATATAACTACGCCTGGACGAACGCCTCCGAATTATACCACCTTGGAACTAAAAATCTCGCAAGAATTGGTTGATGGTCTGCCAAAGGACACCACACATGTTCTCAACTTAGATCGGGCTCAAGTAAAAGCTCTGATCGCGGAGCTGGAACTGGCCCGAGATGCAATGGAAAAATACAATAATTAACACGTTTCCTAAAGATATAATTAAATAAATAAATAATAATTTATATTTTGATATTATTCTTTGTGGTAAATTTGAACTGAAAAGATAAGCTTTGGAAAGAAAAGCTGAATTTTATCCTTTCTAACAAAGTTTACCTAAAGCTTGAACAAAAAGCTTCTTTATTAAGACTTGAGTCATAGATGGCGACATATAAGGATACATTTTAGAGGAATAAAATTTAAATCATAGCTTACTAGAATTTTGTTTAAAATTTGCATGCATTGTGCAGTTATTTGAACGCTTTCGAAAACAGCGGCCCAACCTAATTTAAAAAAAAAGATTTTGTACAGAAAATTAAAAAAAATTCTAATAACTTAATTAGTTATAAATAGCACGAATTTAATGGATTAAGCTACTGAAGCTTAATGGGTTATATAAAGTTAGATAGATAAATAGATATTTTTAATTTAATTTTTCTTATGCTCATGATTTCAGCCCTGACATGATTTCAGGCCTTGTAGAGTTAGAAAAAAGGAAATCAGACAAAATCTTCATTAGTAAAAATGCCGTTATCGTTGTTTTTAACCAATTTTTTTGTACTTTTGAATATTTTAAAAATATCTATAATCAAATTTTTTGATGTATGTATACCAAATTTTAAAGGAATCGGTTCCGTAGAACTTTAAATCATATCGACCACCTTAAAAAAGTAGTTTCGAGTAAAAAGCATTTAAAGATTAGGAAACGATTTTAACGGCTTTAATTCCACGTCACAGAGTTGGTTGTGTCTCCGAAAATAATTCGAGTTTTGAAAAGTCCTTTTAGGATCATATTTTTGAAAGTCAAAACTTTCAAAATATAATATGCGAAAACAAAATCGATTGTATTAAAATTTTAAGACCAGAATACCTTTTTAAGCGATATCTGGTTGGATTTTTAATAACGGAGGATCCACTTCAGTGATGTAGTAGTCACCGCAAAACGTATTTTTTGAGAGGAGCTTCCGGAGATCAGCAGTAGCTCCGCTCCAAATTAATATTGTTACTGATACTAAGTCTTAAAAAAAACAGTTCAAAAGGTATCTTAAATGAACAAATTTTTAGATCAATAAATTGAAAAGTTTTCTGAGAAAATATTCTTGAAAATTCGTTTTTTTCGTCCTTCTAACTGTATATAACCCTATAATGAAACATTGTTTTCATGGTTAAATGGATTTAATAAGACTGAAGGTGGACTTATTCGGCTCTACCACAAAACATTCCCTCAATCCCAATAAATTGAGAAATCTCAGTCATAAATGTCATCAAATGCCAACCACGGGCTAAACCCATTTCAGCCAATATTTAACCCAACCGGCAGCATTGCAAATGCTCCATGAACTGGGTCAAATTTAATCAACTGCCCTGCAACATTTTTAGTGCCCATGCAGCCTGATTATTAATTATAGCATAACGTGCGGCGTAAATAAAGTGAAATTTGTTAATAAAAGGCCCGGAAAACAACCCTTTTCGAGAAAACGGGGTTCACCTTGCTCCTGTTTTCCACATTTGCTTATCATCCGCTTTGGCCACGGCAATTACCGTCGCATCCTTTGGCCATCTTCCTGCTTCCGGTTATTAAAATTATCTGCAGTGGCCAACGGGATGTGAAAAAACGAAGAAAATTTCAATTAAAAGTATACAAAAAATAGGAATAAATTAATTTCTCTCGCTGGCTCTGTCCCTCTTTGGTGGATTTTCTAATTATGAGCTTTGGCTGCAGCAGCTGTGGAGGTTAAAAGTTGCCTTCGTTTTTATAGCAAATTTTGTTGTATTATTTTTTCAATTAAACTTGACCATGTCAAAAGTGAAAAAAGACGAAGAGAAGTCCGCGACATTTTTTGATTGCTGCGCTTCGTTTTTTTTTTTTGTATTTTTTCATTTTATTTTTCTGAATTTTTTCTGCTTTTTGCCACATGTTGCTGACACTTGCAGCAGTCGCTGGGCACCTACTTCCCTTACTTCTTGAATTTCCGAGCCACTTGGAACTTTGATTTATGATGGCCAATGAAAGAAATCCTGCACCGCCCCCTTTGGCATTGTCACCTGCTTTTTAATTAAATTTCTTCTCAAGGTCTCAATGAACTGCTGCATTGATTTCTGCCCCTCTTTCCAGCATTGTGCAAATATCATATCCGAAGGTAAATAAATGTTCCACGTAGCTCTGTTCCAATTACCCCGGCAACTATTTACTCAGCATTTAGTTGGCGGTGCCTCATTCTCGTTTACGTCGGTATGGGTGTTTGGCACAAAATCGTGTAAACAAGGCGGCAATGTCAACAGAAATGGTTCACATAATATGGTAAGGAGGTGAGGTAATTGGGGGTGGATGGGGAGGCAGAAACTTGTCAGTCAAAAAGTATGGGTAGACATCCGGAAAGGGTGGAAACTGGAGTTTTTGAAGCAATAATATAGTACCAGTTATTCTGAACTAATAGGTTAATTGAGTAAAATAAAGAACATATTTTGTAACTAATGAAAATATAATCTTTAAGACAGATCCAAGAGCATACCTTTTATTTTTATTCTTGTTTTCGGTTTCAACACTTTTATTTGAACAATATACCATCTAGAAAGATAATTTATTTAAAAGTAATAATATTTGAGCAAATCGAGTTCAAGTAAAACTTTCGAAAGTACAAATTGCAATAGAATACTAGCATGCACACTAGAACCTGAAAATTTAAATATAAATATCTCAAATAAATGATAGGCCAATTTAATTTAAAAATGTATCTACCTAATTGTATCTTATTTTTAAAAGGTTGCACCAAACATTAATGTCTGCCCTCAAAGCTTAAAATATTGTGCCGCCACAAATTGTAAAAGACTTACAGACTAGAACGTTTTCAGTTGTTTGCCCTAAACTGCAAAGATCTTTTAAATACAATCACAAATATATTTTATAAAACTCCATAAAATATTCTTTCGAGCGACCCTCGCTAGTATTGCCTGGCAACCTGGGATACCGCAACCCACAACAGAGTCCGTCTGGCAACGCCCAAACATGTGTAGCGTTATGTCAGCCCCACCCATCCGGAACCCAGCTCCCTTACCATCCGAGCCATCCCAACCATCCTGCAAAAGGCTGTCACATTACGCGCCTGTTACCATATCTTTACAACTGTATCTGCAGATCGTACTCCACGCACTTGTATGACAAAGCACAAAACTTAAAACCTTATGCATGTGATTTGAGGGGTGGTGGGTGTTTTTTTGTTTGGGCGGAGGGCACAAATGTTAGCCTTTTGTCTACGGTTTTGGTGGTGGAGGCCGGAAATCCTTCTTGTTGCTCGATTGCTGGCTGCTTCCGTTCCGGTTTTTAGTTCGACGATGATGCGATGTCGCACCCCTGCGATGATTTTTGGGGTGATGGTGGCCACCACTATTCGCCACCCCCTGCGTGTCCTTCGCTTATCGAGGCAGGCGAGGGGAAAAGCAACTTTTTGACTTTTTCAATTTGAATTTCTGCTCTGGGTCTTCCTCGCCGGGTTACCCTAGGCGTAATAATGAAATAAACGTTTCGCTAAATGCCTACGTATTTTGCACTGAGGGAAAGTGGGTTGCTTGCCAAGGGGTGGGAGGGGACTTCATTCAATTAATTCGATGGGATTTGGTTTAAGAGCTCATTGTGTGGAAAAATAAATCAAGTGGAGGCTTCTGAGGGAATAACCACTAATGATTCTAACGAAATTTATATATTTAGCACAGCAACAAAGCCTACTTAAGATTAACTAGTCAAATCAATAATATAAGTTTTATTTTGGAAAATGTATTATAAGAAATATTCAATAAAAAGTCATTTATAATGTAGTGAGGTTTTTAACAATCAAAAAAGCAAAAGTGAAATAACTTAAAAATCAAACAGAACGGTTTAGGAAATTTCCCTATTCATTAGACACATTTCGGTTTCAACATTTAAAAGTTTTCAAGACATTTTTACCGTCTTTAATCATACCGTCTTTAATCATACTTGATACTTCTGCTCATCCAATCGAGTATTCATATGAACTGAAAACTTCCTCTTCCACACCTCCCAAATGGTCACACCTGAGAACATGGCCAATTGGGTGGTGAAATCCTCCACTCTCTTGGCCTAAAGCTGGTGGAGATTGACTGCCCCACATTAATCAACGCATAAATTTAACGCATTATTATTTATGTTCCTCCCACTCGCGAGCAGCTCGCGCTTGTTTCATTTTCGAAATAGAAATTGTTTTACAAATGTCACGCGTACGGAACCCAACCCCGACTCCTTCCGCCCTCAGCAACCTCTGCAATCCTGAACAAAATAAATGGCGCTAAAATGATTCAATTACCCAAAACAGAAAAAGAGCAAAGAAAAACATTTTTTTTAGGGGAACAGGTGGCCAGGGCCAGGCGACAAAATCTTTGGCTAAAATTTTTAGACGTGTTTATTGGCGGGATGCTGCGAGTAGAGGGGGTGGCACACACCTGTGAAAATGTAATAAGCGAAAATAAGATTTTAATTGCCAACGTTTATGGGTCGCTCTGAATGCCATTTTAATGTCCCGTTTACCATGAGTTACAAGTACTTGAAAACTTAATTGTACATACACTTTTAAATTCCTCAACTTACTCACAAAAAAATAAAAAAGAACTGAAAGCTTAGTTTTTAAAGGCGTGTCTTGAAAATAAACTACAGACAGTATTAAAGTGTAGGTATTAATTCAATTATAAATAACTTTTTTCTTTTTCTTTTCAATATCGAAGAGTCTAAAACTGTAGTCTAAGTCCACACTTTAAAACCACAGAAGTTTTATTTTGATACTTTTATGGTATTAATTAATCATCTTATTCAAAAAATGTTCATACCCAATAGCTTTAGATTTAATTTAATTTAATTTAAAAGTTTATTTGACGATTTTTTTTTGGGTGTATGTTCGTTACCTAGTGCTCTAATAAGCTTAAAGTACGTTTAAGGCAGCCACATTTCATAAGCTGCTTCGGCTTAAAAATTATATTTAAATTGTCATGTGGTAGAGAAAGCGGGCCTAAATGTATCCCTAAATATCTATGACTGTCCTGTCAAAATAAATATTTTTAGAATAACGGATTTCACATAAATGGACGATAATTTTTGAAAAATTTATTTTTTAATATATAAATGTAAAGTATTCGCCATTTTTTATAATAATCAAGGTCTCTTTACTATTTAGGGGTTACAAACGTTTATTTCCTTCTCTTTGAAATAACTCAGACCTATATTAGTCCCATTTGTTGACCTGGGAAGTCCTGGAAAGTGAAATATCACAAACTGATGTTCTAATTGCCATGTGGACTCATTAGTTTGTTCTATTTGATTTCTTCCCAGTTTCAGTGAAAGCTTCGATTTCTAGCTCCGATTGCCAGTTTCGATTCCTTGTTTGTCCTGTTCCTTGTCGTCTTTGTTCTGGTGCGTATCCATATCCTGAATATCTGTGTGCTTTCGCTTTGGTTGCATCCACTGGCAGCCGAGGCTAATGCGCAATTTCCACTTACCCTTCCCCATTTAGTTCACGCTTCGTTAGACCCAGGGAAAAGACACTACGGAGTTATCCACTGCCCTTCTCCAGATTCGACTACATCCTCCTTACTTTTTTTGGTTGGTTTACTGCACTTAATTTAATGTTGTGCTGTTGTCAACGCAAGTAAATCAAAGTTGCGACTTTTATTTATGATTTCGTTTATGCGCTTTACCATTAACTAAAGTGGTCTTGCATGGAAGGGGGTTGTAAAAAAATAACCCTCTCACAGTCACATTAAATTCACAATTTAAACAATATGTCATTATCTTAGAATTTTTAAAATTCTTTAAAATACTTGCAGATATTGTCATTTTATGTCGAAATGATTTGTGTTCTTGTTCAGAATAAATCCAAAAAGGGTTCAGTGATTTTAATAAAAAACTCTTATACAAATTGGAAAATAAAACACAATGGTTTTTAAGTTCGTTACATACATATAAAACTAACCATCAAGTTTTTATTGTCAAAATTGTCCAGCACTAACAAACCCGGCGAAGCTCTCTATTTTCGTTTGTACGTCTTATGTAAGTCACAGGCTCGCCATCCTGCCCAAAAATGTCCCAATTAGCCAGTTCTGAATCCATCCAGGCCTGATCAATCAGCATTGGACCTATAAACGGAAAATATACAGTTTCTTCGGGGCGTTTGTAAAATACCATGTGTTCGAGTCACTAAATGCTTCACTATTGCAACAATCCCACATACGACTCGTCGAAATTCCTTTGGACCATGTGCATGCAAGTTAAACGGTTTGGATGCGGAGTTCCAGTTCCCAGTTCCTGCTGTAAGACCAACTCTTGCTGTAAACCCAGCTCTCGCTGCAACTCCAGACCATGTGGATCTTGTGGACCGTGCTCAAATGGCTGTGCTACCTGCTGTACCTCCTGCTGTGGGATATTCCCCGAAACATGCTGCGGTCCGTGGTGTGAGTCCTGTCTGGATCCCGCCTGGTTCTCCTGGCTGTCCCCCAATCTCTGCCGAGCCTGCTGTTGTGCTTGCATGCCACTTTGTCGGAAAAAGTGCTGCTGAGAACTCGATATTGGGTAAAATCGGTTCATAGAAATAAAGTTCGTTGTTAACCATTGGATTTATTATATTTTAAATGTTTGATTTTTTCAATTACTGTGAAAAGGTCAAGTGACGGCTTAGATTCAAGATAAATCTAAGTTGCACCTTCATGTTAATACACACAAAGGAACGACGAGGCCTCAACGTGCATGCACATTTCACTAGACAGTCAAAAATCATCAGCATTGAAATTACTAACTTACTCAGGTCGGTTTCCAGTAATAGAATTGAAGGATAAAGAATTGCAGCACAGTCAATGTTTTTAAAGATATTTATCTTAAATTTTTAAAAATATGAAAATGTAATACAAATTAAATAAAATTCTTTTTTTTGGTTTTTATTTAAAAAATTAAAAAAAAAAGTTTCGATTTCTTAAATTGGAAAAAAAGCGAAGATATGCCATAAAAATAACAAGATATTAATATTATTTTTCTTTTTTTTTTCTTTTGGTTTACAAATTTTTGAACTCAACCTTTTACCTCAACCCAACCTTTTAAAAACAGGAAATTGCCATGAAAAAAGAAGCTTACCAAGTAGTAGCTTGAGGACCCTATTCACACACACTCTTAAATTTTTTCTTTCCTTTTTTGCACAATTTGGTTGTATCTATTGCTTTTATTGTTATAATTTTTGTTTTATTTTGTAATAAGTTATTTATTTAATTTGTTATATATTTTTTTTTGTAAATTGTGATGTTAATATTTTTCTATATTGATTTTACCCACGTATTTTTCTGTGTGCATTAAAAATAAAATGTAACGAATTAATTATATGCCTTTACTGATAGACAAACAAAAATCATATTTATTTATTATTAAAAGCTTCACATTTCAGCTAATTTTTAAAACCCCAATATTGATCTTAACACCGTAATATACGTTTACCTTTCAATTTTAAAATGAGAGTTATAAACATCTCTTGCCAACCCCATAAGCTCCAAAAACAGTTCACCTTAGACTCGCAAATATACCCCTAATTGAATACGAAATAAGGGAAAATGCAATTTTAATACCGCAACTGTGTCGCCATATTGTAAAACTATCAAAAAAGTACATCAGTGTAATTCGTGCAAATCGCAAATCGTAAAAATTGTGCAAAAATTCACTGGCGTCGCGGAAAGAACCGCAACAAATTGGGCCAAAGGGGCGAATTAGCCAGCGCGGCATAAAAACGCCGCATAAAGACGCACTTGCAGGGATCAGGGCTAATAAAAAATTATAGATTTTCATCTTTGCATATTTAACTTTTATCGCGTGGCAGTTTCACTCCGCTCATGTGTTTTAGGCCCAATTCAGGTTGGGTTTCGGGTTGCCTTCTGTTGCGGATTTCTTTTGCGGTCTTTATGCTGCCGCAACCTGAGCGGAACATAAAACAAATGTCATACTCAGGGCCAAATCATGTGTGTTCCCCAGCCTCAATTTTCCCCGGCCATAAAGATGTTTCGTATTTTTGCATAATCGTCAATTTTTGATTTTAAAAAATTCTCCAGGAGGGCAACGGGAGTAATAGGGGAGCGGGTAAACCTTTGCCCTGCTGATGTTCTTCGGTCAACAATAAAAATTCATTTTTATAATCTTTACATGTGTTACACCATCAATAGCCTAGGTATAAATATTTATTACTATTTTACGATTGAATTAAGTTTGCATTTTCCTTACCTTTTTAGTATGGCTGCCCTTCGAGCTTATTTACAAATAATATCATTGGAAGACTCCTTATGGATGCTTAAGGTAAATTCAATTTTACCGGTTTGGAGGTGGGAAAGGTTAACAATTTAATATTGCAGATTGTGGTGATTTTCTAAGCAAGGAGGTGTCATCGAAATCTATTTATACAAATTTAAAGTGTCATCAGTGTGATCTTAAATCTCTACAGATTTTTTTAATTCGATAAAAGTAATTTTTTAATATTTAAAAAAAAAGCGAATATTTTGATAATTATTGAAGCACTTAATTTATAAGTACTCTTAGGAAGGAATCATACCGAATTTAATCCATTAAATTTCCCCCTTTCATAAGTCGTCATTACCATTATCTATTTCAGTCATTTGTTATTCTTTTTAAAAAACTTTTCAAAACAAATGACTGGCATTCATGTCTTTTCCTATTAAATAACACGTAAATTATCATAAACAAATTAAAAAAGTTCGTAATGTGTCATTTGCAGAGGGGAAAGACCGGTTTAACCCCAGAAGACAGCGCCGGAGATAAGGGCCCACTCGAAAGTAATAAGCAAAGCCTCGTGGGTGGTCCAGAGCCTTGAATCCGGAATCCAGCCCATCGGAGATGATGATGATGACTCAAGGGCCCGGCCGAGCACCAAACGGATATCCAATTGGAACCGGATCCGTGGCAGGTTGAGTGCTTGAGCGTTGAAACGGAAGCGGCAAAACCCACTGGGCCGAAAGCCACCCATTGGGACTGGGGTTTTAAATATAATTTGTTTGCCCACCATGGTCGGCGAACACCTCTTGCCCACCAAAGGGGTTGGTGCCTCAAGTGAATCTCGGCGGGGCACCCAGGGGTTGCTGGGTGGATGGTTTCAGGGCGTCCTCAGGGGGGGTCGTGCGAAAACAATCACTCAAAATTGTTGCCAACTTGACTCACTAAAGATCTCGTTTAATTTTCATAATTTGATTACATTACGAAATGAAAACAAAGTAAAAAGAAACATCATCGTCTTACGAAGTTGGAATATCCTTTAAAATATACGACAGATAATTAGGGAGTAGAATATCATTTCAAGTTTAAGACTAAATTATTTTAATAGAGATTAAGTAAATGTACAAAGCGTTTCAATTGTTTCCACGGTTAATAATAGCGATTTTAGTCGTTTTCTATAGTATTCTCCATTAGCGTCTTTTCAAATTGTGCCTCAAAAAGTATGCAATGATTATGAATAAAATGTTTAGTCAAGAGGACTTTCCAGGTGTAACCCATAAAAAATTAGGTATAATAATGAGATATATTACCTTACAATTGGTAATTTCTCCAACAAATTTGTATACCCTTCAAAAGAGAGGGTATACCCAGCTTTTGGCTATGACTTGCAGGGATTTTTTGGCAGCGGCCTGTGGGCGAATTGGTGACACGTGACCGGATCACGTGTCCACACCGACGAGGCGGCGTGTCAACTCTCATGTAATCACGGCAAACATGTGGCCTTGGGACTGTCCGCCGACATCGGATATCCGGCCGATTTCCGATGTGATGCCCAATGAAATTACCATTAAGCGTTTAATAGTTGGCCTGTTGGCAAGTTGGGGGTGGGCAGGGGGCAGTGGGCGTGGCCGAGGGGCGTTGTTTTTGCGGTCTGCCGCGTGCCGTCGCCTCATCATTCATTGGGTTATGGTCGGATAAGGTTCGTTCCTTTTTAATGCTCATGTAAATTATGCGCCAAAAATTACAAAAACCTAAGCGACGAGATAACAATTTTAAAGAATTTACAATCGTGGGATTTTGTTTTGACTGCCAGCAGGCGAAGGCCATTAGGAAAACTTTTTAGGGAAAGAGGGTTGATTCGGATTTAGGGGATGGGTTATGTTTTTCTTCGAAAGGTATTAACTAAACACGTGTTGAAATTTTTTTATTTTATTTGCTTGTATCATACGCTTTGAAGCTTTTATAGGCTTTGTTTTAAAGTCATCAGAGTCTGGGATTATTGACTGAATGGTAAACATATATATAGATTAAGGGTTTTGTAAAAGTGGAATGTAAGAAAATTTGTTGAAAAAATTATTCCAAATCCTTAGAAATATACAACGTTAGTTATAAAAACTGAATTACTGCATATATTAACAAATCATTACTAAGAGTTAACACATCAACAAGAAAACGACTTGAACTTTCCATAAATTTGTTCAACTCGTTTTAATAAACATTATATGGCACATTGAACTAAAAATGTATACCTAAAAATTCAATCAAATTTGTAAGTATTTTAGCTACATAGCCACTAACAATGCTAAATATTAAAAATCACACCCTGATTGTTTTTGCATATCTTTATTCAATTACTCAAAAGGTAATCCCCTAATAGAAGGAACTTAGCCAAATCGTTGCCATCTCGCGACTGCAATCAATCTCAGTCTCGATGCAATATTGCGAAGATTAATTAATTTGTATTAACATACACGCACCCACGCACCCGCGCACTTAGGGAGCAATAACTGATGTCAGACTATAATTAATCAAATGAATTACATGAGCGAGCCTCACGGAGCAATAATCATATGCGTGGCAACAACATGGAAATCAAATCAGAGGCCAGGAAATGCGTTTGCATGTCAATTACAGCTGGCGCCGAACTGCCTCCCCCGAGAACTCCCTGAAAGCCCCCGTCCATCCATCCAGTAACATTCAGCTAATATTCAAAGTCAATCGGGCAGGCTCATGAACTTGATGAGTAAGCGAGCGAACCGGGCAGGGATTCCCCAATTATTCATGCCCGACGATTGTATGCAAATCGAATTGCCAAACTCATAATTGTTGGGGGGCGGTACAGGAAATAGGCAGCCCAATCCTGCCAATTTCATGGTAAACATGTTGCCATTTGCTTTTAATAGTTGATAAGCTTACCCAAAGAAATTGATTTTGATGCGAATTGAATTTTCAATGGTTTCAAAGATAATGTTTTTCTTAAAATAATTTAAATTTGGGCTTGAGTAAAGATTAATATCCACCCTTATTAAAAACATATAAGACTGTTCTTCTTTTAAGCGTTAAAATGAATTTAGTTAAAGTAAAAAAACTAAATGTCATTGGGACTTCCAAAACGTAATATTTTGACACTAAATCCAATATTTAATCAAAGTAAGGTAAGTGAACCATAATATAACAGCCTAAATCAATTAAAAAATTTCAATTTTCATTTCATTTGAGCGGTTGATAAGCCCAAGCAAGGAAATTGAATTTTCAACGAATTGAATATAGAATGGATTCAAAGATATTCCTTCCCCAATCTTTTTTTTTTTTTTTGTAAATTTTTCTAAACCGTTGGATGAGAGATTTATGCACACGCAGCTGTGTGTTGTAA